AGACTGGATTTGCTCCTGAGGCTCTGCAGGTCTGGATTTTGCCCTCAGGGAGCTTTTCAAGCCTGGATTTGCCCCCTCCAGCCTGGATTTGTCCCTGAGGCTCTGCAGGGCTGCTTTTTGCCCTCACAGGGATTTCCCAGCCAGGATTTGTCCCTGAGGCTCTGCAGGGCTGGTTTTTGCCCTCAGGGAACTCTTCCAGCCAGGATTTGTCCCTGAGGCTCTGCAGGGCTGCTTTTTGCCCTCAGGGAACTCTTCCAGCCAGGATTTGTCCCTGAGGCTCTGCAGGGCTGGTTTTTGCCCTCACAGGGATTTTCCAGCCAGGATTTGCCCCCGGAGCTCTGCAGGGCTGGTTTTTGCCCTCAGGGATCTTTTCCGGCCTGGATTTGCTCCTGAGGCTCTGCAGGGCTGGATTTTGCCCTCAGGGATCTTTTCCGGCCTGGATTTGCCCCCTCCAGCCTGGATTTGCTCCTGAGGCTCTGCAGGACTGGTTTTTGCCCTCAGGAAAACTTTTCCAGCCTAGATTTTCCCTTCCGCTTTGGATTTACCCCTGGGGCTCTGCAAGGCTGGTTTGGGCCCTCAGGGAACTTTTCTAATCGGGATTCATCCCTGGAGCTTTGCAGGGCTGGATTTTGCCCTCAGGGAGCTTTTCCAGACTGGATTTGCTCCTGAGGCTCTGCAGGTCTGGATTTTGCCCTCAGGGAGCTTTTCAAGCCTGGATTTGCCCCCTCCAGCCTGGATTTGTCCCTGCCCTCAGGGAACTCTTCCAGCCAGGATTTGTCCCTGAGGCTCTGCAGGGCTGGTTTTTGCCCTCACAGGGATTTTCCAGCCAGGATTTGCCCCCGGAGCTCTGCAGGGCTGGTCTGGGTCTACATGTGCCCTCATGTAGGTCCCAGATGTGAAATCCATTCAGCTTCCATGACTCACTTGCTGTCCCAGGTTGCAGAGGAGGAGTCAGAGAAACGCTGCTGTCAGCACGTTGGAATCCCAGATTCCACATGAAATCATGGCTTTGGATGAGAACCCCAAAGTCCTTCCCTGCCAGGGCTCCCAGCTCCCTGTACCTGCAGTGATTCTGTGATTAAACTGGCCCTAACAAAGCTGAGCTTGCTTTATTTCCACGGGAACAGGGACTAAATTAAGGTGAAAACAGCACTTGGAATTGAAGTGGCAAAGTAGATTTGTTACAGGGCTGCTTATAAAATAAATTAGAGCACTTTTTGTTTTAATGAGAAAAAGAATTCTCTTCCAGAGGATGGATTTACACAAGGTGGAAAGGTTTGTTTCATAAAATCTCAGAAAGGTTTGAGTTGGAAGGGAGCTTAAAAATCACCTCATTCCACTCCCTGCCATGGGCAGGGACACTTCTCCTATCCCAGGTTGCTCCAACGCAGCCTTGGACCCTTCCAGGGATTCAGGAGCAGCCACAGCTTCTCTGGGAATTCCATCCCAGCCCCTCACAGGGACGAATTTTTCCCAATATCCCATCTAACCCTGCCCTCTGGAATCCCTCTTGTCCTGTCCACTCCTCTGCCTCCCTGCTCTGTCCCTTCCTCAACACCTCGTCCTTTCTGCCCTACCTGGCCATAAGTGGGCTGTGATCCCACCTGGAATTTCCAAATCCCGTTTCCCTACAATCCAGCATCATTCCCGTTTATTTTCCGCCCCCAGAACATGAACATCCAGGTGGAGGACATCCGTATCCGCGCCATCCTGGCCACCTACCGCAAGCGCGTCCCTGTCACTGAGGGCTACGTGGAGGTGAAGGACGAGGGCACCTGGAAGCAGATCTGCGACAAACACTGGACCATGAAGAATTCCCGCGTGGTCTGTGGGATGTTCGGCTTCCCGGGAGAGAGAAAATACAACACCAACGTCTACAAGTAAGGGCAGGGCTTGGTGGGAGCTGCAAACATTCCTTGGGATGCTCGGGGCCTCATTCCCAATGCAGGTCGCAGGTGGCACCAGGGACCCTGGGGTAGGAAAAGCTCTGACTGCTTCGTTCCTCCAGATGGGATTTTTCCATCTGTGCAAATGTTTGGAATGTCCAGCGTTTCCTGGTGCAGGCAGGGGAGGCCTTTGATCCTCATCCATGGGACACAGAGCTTGATGAGTATCAGAGTTTGACAGGGCCTGGAATGGGAGATGAGACACTTGGCCTAAGAAATGCTTTTATTTTGTTATTCCAGCTCAAGGATGAACATTTCCTCTAGCAGGGATGGGCTCTGTGTGCTGGGCAGGGGCAGGGATGGAACCAAACTGCTCCCACTGTCCCAGTAAATCCATCAGCTGTGAGGAAATCGTGGAATGGTTTGGGTTAGGAGGGATTTACAGCCCATCCAGTGCCATGGCAGGGACACCTCCCACTATCCCAGTTTGCTCCAAGCTGGCCTTGGGCACTTCCAGGGATCCAGAGGCAGACAGCTTCTCTAGGAATTCCACCCAGCTCCTCCCCACCCTCCCAGACAGGAATTCCTTCTCCATATCCCACCTATCCCTGCCCTCTGGCAGCGGGAAGCCATTCCCCGTGTCCTATCATTCCATAATGTAAACAGTCTCCAACTGCTCTCCCCATCCCTGTGCAGAAATACAGAGGTGGGATCAGTTCTGGATGTGCTGGAAGCTCCAAAGAAGACACCTGGGAATAAAAAGAGCCTTTCTTGGGCTTCCTAGTGCCCAGGCTCCTCCTTCCCACCCGGAGTGCATTTCCTGCCTGTGCATCCCAGAAGGTGCTGGGAAAAGGATCCTCTGTGATCTCAGTGCTGCTTTTCCTCCCTAGATTTGTAGATTCCTTTAAAATGAAGAAATCAGTGATTTATAGGGAGAACACTGCATTTTCCACAGCTGCAAGCAGAAAGGTTTACGCTGCGTTTCGTTTTCCTGGGGAGCTCTGGACTTCTTTGTTGTCATTGCTTTTGTCTGCTCTTTGTCACCAGCCCTCATCCCACACTGTTCCCAAGGAAAAACACCCTCAAGCAGATGGGAAAGAGTTTAAATGAAATTCTGTCTTGTTCCTTTGCTGCTCCGTGACCTGAGGAGTGGGAAAGTGGTGGCTGGTTCAGGGGAGGGCTGAACACTCCAGGCAGGAGCCATGGTTTTCCTGCCTGCTCCTTCTGGCCTGTGGAATTGCTGTTTCTGAGCATTCCCTCTGGATCAGCCTGGCCACGTTCCGTTTCTTTCATTAGCGAGATGCTGACCCACTGGAGAGGTCCTTGGCTTGGAATAGCCCAAAACCACACAGCAGCACAGGGAAAATCTGGAATAAAGAACCCACTGGAATTCTGTCTGCAGGATTCCCAGGGAGATGAGCAGGGGATTCATTGCCCTGGACATCAGTTTGAGGAGGGTTTGCTTCCACAAGTGCAGCACATTTCCCTCTAACCCATCCCTGAGATTCCCATCCCCTGCAGGAGCAGGGAATAAATCACCTCCAGACAGGCAAAGTAGATTTTTCCTGCTTCCAGTTGTGGCCTTTCCAAGAAAAGCATTAACTGGAGTATCTGGAGCCATCTGCCTTAAATAAAGAAGTGCTCAGGAGTTGTCCTGTCTCTTGGACACATGGAAATGGAAAAGCTGATAGGAGGTTGTTCAGCAGCAACTCAGCACTGCTGAAAATCCCACTGAATTGAGCTGAAATTAGGAATATGAAGTGGTCCCAAATCCCAGCCCAGGAGATCTCTGCTGCTGAAGAGCCTCAGTGCCCCAAGACCTCCCTTCCTTTCCTTGTTTTCATCCTTGCTGGGCTCTAGCACCCACAAATATTTTGGAAAACACACTGAACATTATCCCAGGTTGGGAAAAAAATTGGGCTGGCATTTTATTGGATGGGAGAGGCTTGTAAAGCTTTGGCAGCTGCAGAGTTTTGTTTGTCAGCAGAGTTTAAAAGCCGAATTCTTCCTTTGGCAGAGCTTCCCTCTGAGTTATGGGTGGATGCATTGTGTTCAGCTGGTGTTACTGGGAAAGCTCCCAGTTCTGGGCTGGGAATGACCTTGGATTTGCGGTCAAGGCACTGGGATGGTGACCAGTGGCACCTTCTCACCTGGGCCAGGGGATGCTTGTCCCACTTGGTTTGTTTCAGAAAGGGAAAAGCTCATCCTGGAGCCTCCCCTCTCCCTGGAAATGTGAAGACACAGAAAAGTCCAGCCCTGCTGAGCTCTGCTCCTGCACAAAGCTGGGAGGTGAAATGATTTGCAGATGGATCTTGCTCAAAAGAAAACAACTGAACTCATAGTTGTCCCACTGCCAGGGGTTTATTCCTGACTGCAACTCGGCCTCTGGAGCTGACAGCACAAATTATGTTCGGAAATGAAACAAATCTTAAGTGGAGTCCCTGGTCCTGTTCATTCCTCATGGTGGGTTTTATATAGGAATTGCTGTAACTCCTCCTCCTCCCAGTTCCTGCTCCAGCTGGAAAAGCAGAATTTAATGAATTTTGCTGATGGAGAGGGGAGAAATCTGGGATCAGAGAGAGGGACCTGATGCCTTTCTGCAATCTTTGTGACTTGACAAAGAAATGGCTCCAGGATCTAACGGCTACTCCCAGTTTAACCAGTCTGCTCAGCCTGTTATAAACTCAGAGGTGCTGGGCAGCTCATCACTTCGATATTTGTATTAGGAACCCTCCTGTTTTTCCCTGGAAAATTCAGGATCTGAAGGACTTTGGCAGGCCTGGCTTCCCTCCCTCCTCCCCGAGGCTGAAGGCAGCACCTTGGTAACTTTAGGAATTTCCCAAGGGTTGAACCCTCTGCTCACAGCCCTTAGGAGGAGCTCCCCAGCCTCTGCTCAGTGGGATTTGGGTGAATTTCCTGGAGTTTATGTGCAGTGATTTGTTCTCTACTCCCCAAGTATTGGAATCGTGGAATATCCCGAGTGCTCCTAATCCAACCCCTCAGCCCTTGGGCTCCACTCGTGCTTTCTTTAAAGCTTTTCTGGGATGAAAATCCCTCTCTCCTCACCAGTAGAAATGGTTTGAATTCCAGCTTGACCTGGAACTGGCCGAACTCTCCCAGCAGGAATGTTCATTCCCACCTCTGACCTGAGCAGTGTCACCCTGGGCTCCCACTTGATCCCAGCTGGACCCTTCTGTGTTAAAAACTAAACATCAGCAAAGCCCTGAGTTTCTGGCTGGAAAGATCAGCTGAATTCTGCTTTTTTTGCATAGACTCAGTCTGGGGACACGAGGTGGGGCTCTATTTCTCCCCAGCCTCCCGAGGACTGTTAATACCGTCCAGATGTTGATGCCTCATGAAATTTCCAGGATGAGGTCATTGTTTGCTATTCTAAGGCATCCCCATCCCTGCTTCCCTAAATCAGGCTGGTTCTTGTCTGCTCTGGAGTTCATGGAGCTCTCTGGACCTGTCTGTGAAGGATGAAAATGTTCCTTCGAGTCCTCCCTTCTCTCCTGAGCACATCTGGGAAGCGTCTGCTCTGTATTGAGCCCTCCCAGGGTTTATTTTTAAGATTTTAACTCTATTCCTCTTTTCCCATCCCTTTTTTCTCCATTCAGGGAGTCCCTGACAGCTCTGCAGAGCCAGAGGTGGGTTCTGACAGCCACTTTTCCCCACAGGAGAGGCAGGGTCCATCCCTGGGATGGATCTCAGCCTGCTTCATCCTTTTCCAGCACGGTGGGATGCAGTTGCAGCTCCCTCTCCAGCCTGGCTGCGGATCCATCCGCAGCCTCAGCCCAGAGAGATCGGGTTCCAGGAAGGATTAGCGGGAGGCTGGGAGCCAGCAGAGCCTGCAGAAATGCTGAGCTGGGCAGCAGAGCTCTGCGAACACAGGGGAGAAATATGTCCCCTCAAACATCCCTGCAAAATCTAAATCCTAAAAGGAAAAAACTTGGGAAAACCTGGACCTGCCCAGCAGAGTTCCCAAAAACCCCCTCAGAAAGGCTCTTCGCTGCTCTCTGTGCTGCAGCAAACCAGAACTGCTGCTTTTTCTCCCCAGGTTCCACCCGCCTCACTGTGCCATGTGTCACAGCTAATCCCTGGATCCCAGCTCTGCGTGGCAGAGATTCCTGGAATGAGGAGCAGCACCGGGATCACACGGAGCCACGTGGAGATCCCAGCAGGGCCTGGCTTCCCCTGAGCCTTCCCTGTGTTTTTAACTCCATTTTGAGGCCGACCTGACCCATATTTCCATTCCTCTCCATTCCGGCAGCCTCCCAGTTAGGATGGAGCCAGATTCCTTCCCTTCCCAGTTTATCACACGTGCCCCTTCTGCCTCAGGAGTGCCTGGAGCAGCTCCAGGAAGTTTGGGAGAGAGAAGCAGGAGCTGCTGCCAAGCCGCTCTGCTGTGAACAAGTCAGAGGGAGAATTGCTCGTGCTCTCGGAAATTGCTCCCAAGTTGTCAACACAGGCCCGGAGAGGCTTTGGATTTTTCCCAATCCCAGCTGATAGCTGCTGGTCAGCAAAAGGAAAAGGTTTTTTGCGGGCTCTCCAGCCCAGTTATCTGCACAAATCCTCTTTGTCCGTTTGGAATTAGCTGATCCCTGCCTGAGGTGGGATCTGTGCTCCTGGGAATGTGACATTTGCTGGAGCTGCACCTTTGGTTCCTGCTCAGGTTTTTTAGTTCTTGCAGGGATTTATTTCTTGAAAGTGGTTGGAATTGATGATCTTGGAGGTCTTTTCCAACCTGAATGATTCCGTTTTTAAGTGACACCTCAACAGAGTCATGGTGTGGATGAATGGATCAGCCTCCAAATAATCCCATCCAATCCTCACTTTATCCCCAGGGCATTTTTCTTCCCAAGATTTAGCAAAATCCTTTTTTTTTTTTTTTTTGGTTACATATTCCTAACTTTTCCCCCCTCTCCTTGATCCCTTCCAGGATGTTTGCCAGCAGAAGGAAGCAGCACTACTGGCCTTACTCCATGGATTGCACTGGGAACGAGGCTCACATTTCCAGCTGCAAACTGGGAAACCACCTGGCGGGCTCTGGGAAGAACAGTAGCTGTGACAGTGGGATGCCCGCAGTGGTCAGCTGCATCCCCGGCCGCGCCTTCGCCCCCAGCAGCCACAGCGGCTTCCGAAAGGCCTTCAGGCAGGAGGTGAGCAGGGAGCAGCCCCAGCCTGGCCTGGAATCCCAAAATGGGTTGGAAAACCCTTAAAAGTCATCTGATCCCACTCCCAGCCATGGACACCTTTGTCTGAGTTTGTTCCAAGCTGGCCTTGGGCGCTTCCAGGGATGAGGCAGCCACAGCTTCTCTAGGAATTCCATCCCAGGAGCTCACCACTGTCCCAGGGGAGAATTTATTCCCAGTATCTCATCTGTCCCTGTCCTCTAGCAGTGGGAAGCCATTCCCTGTGTCCTTTCGCTCCAGGCCTTCCTGCTCAGCAGATTCCCAGAGCTCAGGGCAGTTGCTGCAGCATCCGCTGACAGATGCAGAGAGAGCCATGGAATGATTTGGGTTGGGAGGGACCTCAAAGTCCATCCCATTCCACCCCTGCCATGGGCATCTCCCACTGTCCCAGGCTGCTCCAGCCTGGCCTTGGGCACTTCCAGGGATCCAGGGGCAGCCACAGCTCCTCTGGGAATTCCATCCCAGCCCCTCCCCACCCTCACAGGCAGGAATTCCTTCCCAATATCCCACCTATCCTTGCCCTTTGTCAGTTTGAAGCCATTCCCTGTGTCCTGTCCCTCCAGTCCTTCCTGCCCAGCAGATTCCCAGTATCCAAGGCTGTTCCAGCAGCACTCACGGAGGGATGGGAAAATGAAATCATGGAATGGCTTGGATTGGAAGGGACCTCAAAGCCCACCCAGTGCCACTCTGCCATGGGCAGGGACAGCTCCCGCTGTCCCAGGGTGCTCCAAGCCCCATCCAGCCTGGCCTGGGACACTTCCAGGGATCCAGGGGCAGCCAACGCTTCTCTGGGAATTCCATCCAGCCCCTCATCACCCTCCCAGGGAGGAATTTCTTCCCAAAATCCCACCCAGCTGCCGATTAGGGCAGGAAGCCCCTGGGGGGTGTGACCATTCAGCACCAACTCCCAATGTCCTCTCTGCAATTCCCCTCTCCCTGCACACCAGGTTCCCAAATTCCAGTTTTTTTCCTCCTTCTCCTGACTTCAAAGGTTGGGAGAGTGGCTCCCAGGGCAGCTGGCAAAGCTGGGAGTGAGGAGTGAGGAATTCCCTGGGTCACGTTCCTGTTGGAGCAGCTCAGTCTGAGCCAGCTGAACTCATGCCTGGCTACTTCTGGGCTGTTCCACAGGCTCTGGAATTCTGCTGGAATTTCCCTGTGGAAATCAGCTGGCATTTCCTCTACCTCCATGTCCTCAGTGAGGAAATGCCCTGGGGAGAGACTGGGAAAACATGACGAGCTTGGAAAGCTGAGTCTGTTTAGTCTAGTGAGGAGGAGAGAGCTGAGTGGGGCATAAAAATCCCAGGAGATGCAAAAATGTTGGAAAACAAGGCTGGAATTGGTTGTTCCCAGTGTCAGGGGCTAGGAGAGGACAGCTTAACCAGCAGCAAACATGGGCTAGGTGGGTGCCAAGGGAAATTTTCCAGCTGCAGCCTTGGGATAGAGGGGAAATCTTGGTGGTTTCTCATCAAAGAATTTTGTAGATTTGTGAAACTGGGAAAATTTGGATTTTGTGGCTGTTCCTGGGTGGTTTTAGGGGGGGTCTATGGGCTCTTCCCAGGTGCCAATAACAGGATAATTATTGGTGGGGATAATGCAATCCCTGCCTGGATCCGAGACTCTTCCCTGCGCCAGAGCTTGCAGGATTTAGCTCTGGGAGGTGAAAGGTTTTGTAAATCATTGTTAATCTCCTGAGCTGCACACGCTGCCAAGTAATTCCTTAAGCCTTTGTTTAGGCTTTGTGTGTCCTTGGTGTGACCCCAGCCTGGAGAAAGAGCTCCAGCCATGATCCCAGTCAGAAAAGCCAAGGATTTTTGGTGCTCCCAAACCTAAAGCTTTGCTCTCACCACCTCAACCCAGCTCAGCTCGGCACTGGGGAGAGGAGTGGGTGATTAACAGATAATAATTAAATATTATAAACCCAGAAATGAGTGGAACTGGAGCTGCCACTCAGCTGTCTATTTCTGACCGCAAATGCCAGATGTTTTTATTCCCCTTTTTATTTCTTATTTCATTATTATTTATTATATATAATTTCTATATTATTATTGGTCAGAACTGAGCACTCAGGCTCATGTTTTATAGGGCTTGAGCTCAGTGTTGGTCCTGGATTAAGCCAGGAGCCTGTGCTGGAGGTGTGAACAGCAAATAAACCCCTTGAGGGCATCCAGAGCTGGGCACGGACGGGCTCAGGGCCATTCCCAACCCTCCTGCAAAGCTCCCAAGGTATATGAAAAATGTTTTTTTGACATTTTTTCCAGGATGGAAAAAGGATCCAAAATCCAAGCACCTGCAGAGGACTTGGATTGGGTTTTTTATTCACTGCTCACACAGGAGGTGTGAGAAAGAAATCCATGCTCAACAAAATCTTTGCAGATAAAAATCTCCTTTCATCCATCACTTCTAGGCCTTGGAATTGTGTGATGGATTTTTTTAAGGTGTCTCAGGTGATTCTATGATAATTTTTAGACCCAGATTTCCGTAAATAACCCCTGTAAAGGATGGGTTTTCCCATCCCACTGACCCCACTGCTGCCTTTTGCCCAACCTGGAAACGAAACTCAAGACAATTTTAGTCTCAAGTTAGTAATTACTAGTTAGTAATTACTAATTTGTAATTAAATTAGTAAGGGAGTAATAAAAAAGAGGATCTTTATTTGAAGGCCTTCAGCAGCAGTTATGGAAAGATGTCCATAAAATGTCACCCCCACAGGGATGAGTACATATTTATAGACTTTAGGAAATTAATAATTGATAAAAATAATATAATTCCTAATTAATAATTCAGAAAAAGCACTAATTAAGAGGACAAGTGGTGATGCAATTTCCAAAACCCCTTCTCTGGAGCCTTGCCTTCAGCACTGTCTGTACTTTGTCCATGAAATGTATCTTGAAGGTTGTTCCCAGGAAGAGCCAAGATAGGATTGGGAAGGCACTCCCAGGGCTTGGAGCTCTGGAATTGTTTTGTCTTTCTGCCTAGGGAAAGGCCACAGAATTCCACAGAATTCAACAGAATGACTTGGAAGAAAATGCCAAGATCATCGAGTCCAAGCCAGCCCTAACACCAAAAACAAGACCACGGCACTGAGTGCCGCGACCAGTCTTTTTTAAACACACCCAGGGACGCTGATTCCCTGGGCAGACCATTCCAGTACTTTATCACCTTTTCTGTAAAAAAACTTTCTCCTGCTATCCAACCTAAATTTCCCTTGTTGCAGCCTGAGACCGTGTCCTGTGCTGTGTTTGAAAAGCGCTGGGAAAACCAACTGCTGATTCAACGGGCTGCAGAGCTCCAAACGTATCTGTGAGGAGCACAAAGCGAAAATAAAAACCCAAAAAGGCAGAACCCAAAAGGCATCGCCACTCCTGTGTCTGTCTCTTCCAGCAACCCCTGGTGAGGCTGAAAGGAGGAGCCAACACCGGGGAAGGCCGGGTGGAGGTGCTGAAGAACGGGGAGTGGGGGACGGTGTGCGACGACAACTGGAACCTGGTGTCGGCCAGCGTGGTGTGCCGGGAGCTGGGGTTTGGCAGTGCCAAGGAAGCCATCACGGGAGCCAGGCTGGGCCAAGGTAAGCCCCACCACAGCCCAGGCAGTCCTGGTGTCAGGAAAAGTCATCTGCGAACACCAGAGGTTTAGATCCAAATAGGAGATGGGAATCTTTGAGAGGCACAGACTTTTTAAAATGCCCCACGCAGGCCCTTTCTAATGTACAACCTGTCACATTTTCCTTTTCCTATGGAATTTATGGTCCCTCCCATTCTTTCAGTATCTCTCAGTATCCAGTTTTATTTATCAGCAGAGCCACAGTTTGTTTAGAAAGACAAATCCCTCATTCCTTTTGCTGGTGCCCTGAATTAATGAATGTTTCCCCCCCAGGAGCATCCCATAATTCAGAGCACAGTGGATTTTTGTTGGGATGTTTCATTTGAGGACCAGGAATTTCTTCCCTAACCTTAAGAAGGCTCTTGAGGCCAGACTGGAATTCTGTGACTTAAATGTTCCAATTTAAGAGCAGGACAGTAATTTAACTCATTATAAATAGAAGGGCATTTGAACAGCTCAGACTCAGGTTTGGGTTTGGATTTCCTGTTTTTGGGAGTTGGTTTAAACTCCAAAATGTGGTCAAAGGCTAACTGAAACCACCTGGTGATTCCCACATCTTGTTGTTCTTCGGGTGGAAATCAAAAAAAAAAAAAATTATAACCAAAAAATAAAAATAAAACAAAACAACAACTACAAAAAAAACCCCACCAAACAATACACCAAACCCTTGTGGGAATGACCAAAACAAAGACACCAAGCTCTTGTTGTGAGAATAACCAAAAAAAAGGTGCCAAACCCTTGGGAGAAGAATCAAAAACAAAAATTACACCGAACCCTTGTGAGAATAAAAGAATGGGGGAAATTTTGAGAATGAAGGAATGGGGGAAATTCCTTCAGCTTGGAGAAGGGGAGAGAAGGAAACAACACGTGGGTGTCCTGAGTCTGGGAAGCTTTAGAACATGACCAAATCCACGGGATTTGCCAAGAACCCTCTTTGTGGTGGGCTGGAATCTGCTGATGTGTTTAACGGGATGTAGGAAACAGCTTCATCATCCTGGGGGCTGCCACGTGAGGGAGGAAAACGTGGAACACGCTGTTCCTGCCCCATCCCACAGCCTGGAATCTCCCTCTGGATTCCCACACATTTCCCTTTCCTTTTTTTCCCCCCTTTCCCTCCTGCTCATCCATCAGCAGGAGCATCCCTTGGGATGGGTGATGTCCCTTCAGCAGCCAGAGTGTCACATTTTGGTTGGAAAAGGGGATTTTTTTTTTGGCCCTGGATGCACAGGGGGCTCTCGAGGCCATGTCCCTGTTTACACTTCCAGTGACATCCCAGGGAATTTGGGTTTTCCAAGGGCTCTTTGGAGGAGCAGCCTCCGTGTGGGAGGTTGAATTTCACAGGCTCCCAGTGGCTGAACTGGGAGTCCCAGTTCAGACAAAGTGAGAGAGCAGTGCCCTCCGCAGAGCTCAGGGTGTGGGAGGAGGAGTTATCCCACCTGGAATAAACCCAGATTAATTCACCCTTATTTCCACAAGAAGAGGAGACACTGAGCACAGAGCTCAGGATGTGTTGATATCTTAGGAGGGAGAACATGGAATTAAACTCCAGGGAGTAGGTGAAGGCAAATGTTGGATGGCTAGGCCTAATATGGGAGTTTTTAAGTGCAGTGGCATGGGAGGAAATACAATTTTCCTCACATTTCATCACATTTTGGCTCCTTTTCCATGCCCTCATGTGCCATAATTTCCCCAAGAAGAGCGGCCCTGCCAGGGTTCTGTGGCTCAGTGAGGCCCTGCCCTTGTCCTTTCTCATCTTTGTCATCCACTGGAGTGGCTTTGCTGGGCTGGGAATGTCGGCCTGGCTCCCTCCTGCATTCCTGGAGCTTCCCCCTCTAGTTCTGGTCAGGGCTTCCTCCCCCTCAGCCCTTTGGTGGCTGCAGAATGAGTGGGAAGTGCTGCCAGCTCCAGATGGGAACCACAAACAGGATTTTAATGAGAGAGAGGCAAAAAAATAAAGGACAAGATTCCTATTCCCCAGCAGCCTCCCCCAGGAATGTCCTGCCAGCCTGTCCAGCTGTGGTGGGAGGGGTAGACACAGGGCTGGCCAAGGTGCCCAAACTCAGTAATTAATTGTGGGTGAAATTAAACCAAATACATTCACATCTCTGCCTTGTGCTTTCAAACCAGTTGTGAAAGCGGGAGCTGAGTTTTGTGGGAGGATCATTCCCTTCTACATTTTTCTGATGGAAATTCCAATTTTCTGCCACCGCTCAACCTGGGAGGACCCAAATGATTCCATTTCTCTCTCAGCACCTCGAGCCTATTCTCTGCAGTTGTCCTCTGCTGTTTCCCTCCATGCTGGAATCCTCGACCTGCCCCAGATTTCTTCTCCTGACTCCTCATCCCTGTGGATGTTTTATTCACAGTCAGCGTGTCGAGGTCCCAGCTCAGTGCCAGGCCTTGACTGGGAGCAGATGCCAGCACAAAGACCCAGCCAAAAGGTCACAATTTGTGAATCCCTACAGCTGAGGTTTGTAAATTATGGAACAGTGGAAACTTGGCTTTTCCGGAGATTCTTGCATGCTTGTGTTGCAGAGAATACTGGAAAAAATTTAGCAGTGAAATTATCAACAATAATTTCACAGCTTTTTGTTTTATTTTTACAAGAAATCAGCGGATTTTTTCCAAGTTTTGAATGCTGGAGGTCACTGTGATCTTAACAACCTGCTGGGGGTATTCCCTCACCACAAAAAAGGACTTCTTTCCCTATTTGTTCCCCAAGGAATGGGTCCCATCCACTTGAACGAAATCGACTGCACGGGCTTTGAGAAGTCGGTCACAGACTGCAAGTTCAACACTGAATCCCAGGGTTGCAACCACGAGGAAGATGCTGCTGTGAGGTGCAATGTGCCAGCCATGGGCTTCCAGAACCAGGTGAGGAGCTGAGGGATCCAAGTGTGAGGGAATCTTGGGCAGGAATTGTTTCACCCAAGCTATGAGTGTTTAATTCAGGTTTTACCCAAAAAAAGGAGGGAAAATGAGGATGAATGTCCTGTTTTATCTGAGTTTTAAGCTCCTCTGGACTCATCTCATGGGGAAGGTCAGGTTGGACAGGGCTTGGAGCAACCTGGGATGGTGGAAGGTCCCTGCCCATGGCAGGGGGTGGCACTGGATGATTTTTAACCCAATTTTCAATCTTTTCCAACCCAACCATTCCGTGCTAACTGCATGACCCAGACAGATTCCTCTGAGTTCTCCTTCCATAGGTCTAAAGGAGCAGGGAAGGGAAGCTTTCCCAAGGAATGTTATTCCTGCAGCTGGGAATTCCAGCCCATTGAGCTGCTGGGCTTGGCTGGAGCATCCCCTGCCAAAGTCAGAGAAGAACTGAACTCCCTGAGCTCAAGCCCTGCAGAGATTCCAAGTGCTGCTCTGGGATGGTTTCCCAGAGCCTTCCCCTTGAGGAAGATCCCACACAAAGATGGGGCATGGTGCTGCACCACCTGAGTGCCCTGAGTCATTTTCCCTAAGGAAAGATCAGGAATGTGTTCATCCAGTCTTGTTGGAATTCCTTTTTGCCAGTCTGGGGATGGGGAAAATCCCTCACCAGGCTTTCTCCAGCTCCGTCCTAAAGGGGGAGTTTTCTGCTGTGCAGGGTCACTTCCAGCTGGGAAAATCCAATCATTCTAAAATTTCTGGGAAACAAAACCTTCTTCCCCACCTGCTGCCCTTTCCCTCGGGACTTTGCTGTGGATTTATGGGTTCTGTGTCCCACAGCTTCGCCTGAGTGGAGGCCGCAACCCCTACGAGGGCCGCGTGGAGGTGCTGGCCGAGCGCAACGGCACCCTGAGGTGGGGCACGGTCTGCAGCCACAACTGGGGCACCGTGGAGGCCATGGTGGTGTGCCGGCAGCTGGGGCTGGGATTCGCCAGCCACGCCTTCCAGGTGAGCCCCCGGCCCAGCCCCACCTGGGCAGTGCAGAGGGTGAGTGGGGTGAGGAGGACCAGGAGGAAGGGCTCATTCCAAAAGGAGCTTCAAGGGCTGAACCAGAAAGACCTTGAGGATGAAATCTCATCGTGGAGGTGGGCATTTGGAGATTTGGAGCAGAAGGATTTGGAACAGAAGGAGCTGTGGATGATGAGAAGTGAGGGAACTCCATCAGGAGCTGGAATGATGGGATAAGGGAGAATGGCTTCCTACTGTCAGAGGGTGGGGTTAGATGGAATATTGGGAATAAATTCTTCCCTGGGACAGTAGTGAGGTCCTGGGATGGAATTCCCAGAGGAGCAGTGGTTGCCTCATCCTTGGAAGTGTCCAAGGCCAGGTTGGAGCAAGCTGGGATAGTGGAATGTGTCCCTGCCCATGGCAGGGGGTGGCACTGGATGAGCTTTAAGATTTTTCAGGATTGGGTGACAAACCTTCTGCTTCCCTGAGTTCTCTGTTGTTTTCTCTCAGCTCAGGTTTCCCCACATTCCCTGATCCCTGCTCAGCCTGGCGGCTGCATGCAGGTTCTTGTCCCTCCCTGAAATGCAGAGGTCAGGTTCAAACTGGTGTCAGGTCTCCTGAAAAAATGGGATTTTGGTCCTGTGGCTGCTCCAGTGCAGCCCTGAGCAGCGGGGCTTCATCCAGCTCCATGAATTGTTGGAATTCCCTGCTCCTCTCCTGCCCCAAACCCTCCCAGCTTCTGCAGGGCCAGGATTGGCACCTTGGTTCTGCCCCACCCTTGGGAGTGTCCAAGGCCAGGATGGACAGGGCTTGGAGCAGCCTGGGATGGTGGAAGGTGTCCCTGCCCTTGGGATGAGCTTTAAGGTCCTTTCCAACCCAAACCATTCCATGACCTCTGCCACCCTGGGCTTATGGACAGATCCCAGTCATTCTCCATGGCCAAGGAGGGATCTGCAGGGCCTCAAGGGACACGCTAGCCTGGGACACCCAGCAGGAAGGAGGCTGGAGCTGCCCACGTGCTGCTGGAGCCATTCCCTGCTCCAACTGCTTCCTCCAGCTGATTTCCCCCATCAAATCCCGGGAGCTGAGGATCTCCACATCCCTGAGCCTTTCTGACTGTCTGGCTCTGTTGACACAGCCCTGAGATTCCAGCGAGGAAAAGGCATTTTTTTTCCCTGAGCTGAGGCTGCTGGAATTTGGAACAGAGAAGGCCCTTATGCTGCCCCAACTCTGGGAGCATAAAGCCCCAGTGTGCAGAACAGGGCAGCCCTGTGTGCTCCTGGCCTTCCCAAACAGCCAGGGCCAATGGGAGCCGTGGGACACTGGGGTTTTCTTTTCCTGGAAACTGCTCCCAGCTTGGACATGGACAGGTCTTATCAGAATTTTTCAGGTTCTTTCTCCCCTCCCCTTCTCCCAAGTTTTAGGGTTTGGTGAGTTTGGGTTTGGGATTTTGATGTTCCGTCATTCCCATGAGTTTTGTAAAACTGGGGGATGTTGAGGAGAGGGAATTTCATCAGGAACTGGAATGATGGGAGAAGGGGGAATAGCTTCCCACTGCCACAGGGCAGAGTTAGGTGGAATATTGGGAAATAAACTCTTGGGATGGAATTCCCAGAGGAGCTGTGGCTGTCCCTGGATCCCTGGAAGTGTGCAGTGCCAGCTTGGAGTAAACTGGGACAGTGAGAAGTGTCCCTGCCCGTGGCACTGGATGGAATTCAAGGTTTTTAAGGATTTGGTGACAAAACTTCTGTTCCCCTGAGCAGGGAACTCCCCTTGAGTTCCCTGCTCCAGCACCCATTGGCAAGATCCCCCTGGATAATGTGGGGTCTTGCCCTGAGCTTCCCTGGTGGGGAAATCCACATTTTAGGCAGGTAAAAATTCCCCTAAGAGCCACGAAACCCCAAGGAATGTGTGAAATGCCTTTTCCTGCCTTTTTGCTTTTGCCCAGGAAACGTGGTACTGGCACGGGGACGTCAGCGCCGATGACGTGGTCATGAGTGGAGTCAAGTGCTCAGGGACAGAGATGTCCCTGTCCCACTGCCGGCACGACGGGGCCCACGTGTCCTGCCCCAGGGGAGGGGGACGCTTCGGGGCTGGCGTGTCCTGCTCAGAGAGTGAGTAACTTGGGATTTATCCCAGCTTGGCACAAGGGATGTGCGGGGGAACGGGGTGAGCTGGATACATCAGAACAGGCAGCAAGTTCTTCCTCCAGGGGAGGTTCTAGGTGTGGCTGCCCCATCCCTGGGAGTGTCCAAGGGCAGCTTGGAGTGAGCTGGGATTGTGGAAGGTGTCCCTGCCCATGGCAGGGGGTGGAATGGGATGGGATTTAAGGTCCATGTTCCCGTATGGTGAATCATTGCCCGACAGGCTTTTCCTACTCAGACTCAGAGTAGGATTAGATTGGATATTCAGGAGAAATCCTTCCCTGGGAGGGTGGGGAGGGGCTGGAATGGAATTTCTATAGAAACTGTGGCCGCCCCATCCCTAGGAATGTCCAAGGCCAGGTTGGACAGGCCTTGGGGCAACCTGGGATTGTGGCAGGTTTTTGGTACTGGAAATGGCTGATCCTTAAAACCACTTCCCAAACCACTCTGTGACTTTGAGGAGCTCAGGGGCAGGACCAGCCTCCCCCTCCAGCAGCCACTTTTGGGCTGATTTTATTTAACTTCACCCACCTGTTCCTCACTGCAGCCGCCCCAGACCTGGTGCTGAATGCGGAGCTGGTGGAGCAGACAGCCTACCTGGAGGACAGGCCCATGTTCCTGCTGCAGTGTGCTCTGGAGGAGAACTGCCTGGCCAGCTCGGCCCACAACACCTCGCTGACCTCGGGCTACCGGCGCCTGCTGCGCTTCTCCTCCCAGATCCACAACAACGGCCAGTCCGACTTCCGGCCCAAGAACGGCCGCCACGCCTGGGTCTGGCACGACTGCCACCGGTGCGTGTCCCCTGTGGGGCTCCTGCTGCCAGGGGCAGGTGACAAATGGCTTCTGTTCCCCTCAGTTTGGGGGTTGGAAGCAGCGATCACTGAATTTTGAGAATTCTTCGTTCAATCCTGAAGCGGTTCGGTTCTGAGTTAGGCGCTGTCTGTGCCTTGCTCTGAGCTGAGCTTTGCAGATGGGACTTGTTGGGTCTCAGTTCCAGGATGGGCATTCCCAGGTGCCATTTGTTGGGTTTACATAGGAATTAGGGCTTCAGTCTCCAGTCCATGCCCATGGGGGGAATTCTCTGTGTCCAAAACCAGCCCTTGGCACTGGAGAGGAGGGAAAGAAGAGCAATTCTCTCTGTCTGAGCTGTGGGAAAATGGAAAATGGGGATTTTCTCTCTGTCTGAGCTGTGGGAAAATGGAAAATGGGGATTTGGAGGGAGATTTGGGGGCATGGGGGAAGTGTGGCTGTGGTGAATTAGAGATGGAGGAGCTCTGCTGGGAATGTTCAAGTGGGAATTCAAGTGGGAATGTTCCCCTGGAGAAGGGAAAGCTCCAGGGAGAGCTCAGAGCCCCTTGCAGGGCCTGAAGGGGCTCCAGGAGAGCTGGAGAGGGACTGGGGACAAGGGATGGAGGGACAGGACACAGGGAATGGCTCCCACTGGGAAAGGGGAGATTTGGGTGGGATATTAGGAAGGAATTCCTGCCTGTGAGAGTGGGAAAGAGCTGGGCTGGAATTCCAAGAGAAGTTGTGGCTGCCCCTGGATCCCTGGAAGTGCCCAAGGCCAGGCTGGAGCACCCTGGGACAGTGGGAGGTGTCCCTGCCAAGGCAGGGGTGGCACTGGATGGGATTTCAATCCCTTCCAGTCCAAGCCATTCCAGGATTTTTTGACACCTGGGAGCTGACTTGGCACAGACATGACGTGGGAACTCTGCACCCACCACATGCAGATTACCTGAGCAGTTTCTCACCTTTGGGAAAAGGACTTAAAAATGCTGGAATTCTGTATTTTTTATGCATCTCAACCCCACTAAAACTGTCAGCAGCTGGGAGGTGGTTTTGTGCTTATTTTTGACAAAATTTGTCCTATAAATACATCATTTTTCAAGGAATTAAGACAGTTTTGGGTAAGTTGGGGGTGGAAAAGGGAGCTGGAGGCCATCCAGGTGCTTTGCTGTGAAATGAGGGCTGGTACAAGGTGGATTTTTCCCTAATTTGATATAAAAGGCAGTGAAATAACTCCATGCACAGCTCCCATCCTGTTGAAAAAAACTGGGGAAACATGAGAGTGGTCAATTTTAAATCAAAGAGTTCTTTATAATAAGAGTTATTTATAATATGAATTTACACAATTCAATTTCTTTAAAGTAAGAAATCTAAAGAGTTCTTCATAAAGAACTTTATAAGTTCTTAAAAATTCTTTATAATATTTCCCAAAGAGCTGAAAGGCACAGGTTGCACTGGAAAAGGAGGAACTGGAGCAGTTTTGGATACCATGGAAGGGAGGAGGGATGGGAAAGGGTGAGGAAAAGGCCATCTCTGCTCCAAACTGGATCCAGTTTAGATGGACAAGGATGAACTCAATCCCTCTTCAATCTTTCCAGTCTGAAGAGCAGAGTGTAAACAGCCCAGGGAGTGACTCAGGCATAGCTCAGAAATTGAGTCAAGCTCCAGAAGCTCCAACTCACATCAAATTCGTTGATTTGAGCCAAATCTTGCCTCGAATCAACAGCCCAGCCTCGGCCTTGGGCCTCTGCTTTGCCTCCTGCCCTGGGAGCTCCTGTTTGGATGTGGAAGTAGAATAAAAATGGGGAAAACCCCAAGCAGGGAGTGAAAAAATATTTCATTCTGGCACATGGCAACTTCTGGGGGTTTTTTTGGTTTATTTTTTTTTTTTTTAAGTGAGGCGAAAAGCCTCTTTGCTCCTCCCCCATCTGTAAATCCATGAGCAATGGTGGTGATTGGAAGTGTTTAAGCCATGATTATTTTTGCAGCTGGAAAGGAGTGGATTTATGCCCTTTTTTCTTCTTTTTTTTTCCCTTAAATTCTTAACTGGTTCTGAGTTAGGCACTGTCTGTGCCTCACTCTGAGCTGAGCTTTGCAGATGGGTCCTTCTGGGTCTCAGAGCAGGGTTCCAGGGCTGGGATGAGCATTCCCAAAGCTGAGATAGACATTCCCAAATCTGGGATGGGCATTCCCAGGGCTGGGATTCTCATTCTCAAAGCCAGGGGGACACAAGAGTGGCCTCAGGTCCCACTCCAGCTGTTTCCCTGTTCCCTCACACCCTGGATTTGCTCCTGATTCCGAACTCAGGCTCAAATCCAAAGTATTGCAGCAGCATCACCCACCCTGCCGTGCCCAGCCCTGACCATGTGGACCCACAGCTGGGCTTTAATCCAGCATTTCCAGCTCGTTCCCGCTCCGTAAATCCCATGGAATCCAGCTGGACTAAAGCTCACCTTACTTCTCTGCTGAGCCAGCAGTGGGGCTTAAAAATCCCACGAGTCCCATGTCAC